AAAACCTGATCTCATATACTTTGTGCGTGCACTGCCACAGTGACGTGTCTCGATCTGCAGCATTCACTTAGCTCCCAGCCACAACGAACCGACGCCGCAATGTGAATGCAGCCTGAACCATTGGTACTTGCTTCGAACATCGACGCCTAGACTCCTAAAGCCCATCACCGAGCTCTCTCTAGTTGATTGCTGTTTCCTTGCCCGACCACTTGCTTCTCTGTCATCTCATGGACTAGGGCTTCTCCTAGTAAGCTCGTGTCCCTCCGGATCCTGTCCCAGTGGAATCCTTCCCCTCCTCCTAGACAGCCCATGCTTCATGGTTGCAAAAAACCCGGGCATGTCCGACCCTTCACCATTCATTATCATAGCCGGATGTACCACGTTGAAGACCGCAATGGCGAGAAGCATCGGCAAAGCTTCCAAGACGTAGAAGTAAGCCTCGTGTGTAATCAAGACATTGTCAATCCCATGGCCCGAAGAAAACTCAATCAGGCGGTAGATGATCCGTACTGAGATCATGCCGAGGGAAAAGTAAAGCGCCCAAAGCAGAGGTTTCCAGGAGCGGGATTGCTTCCTGGAAAGCTTGTCTAGGCTTTGCATCTCGACCTGGAACTTCAATGCCAGGGCGACGAAGATGAGGATGAAGAACTCTTGGAGTCCGATACCGCCCATGTAGATATGAATCGCCTTCATCTGTTCCGCGGGTGGCGCTGTTGGGCCGGCCATGCTGCCTCCAGTGAGTTGAACAGCAAATGATATGATGTCAAGTGCGACAAAGATCGCGGCGAATGTTGCGGCGGGAATGCGGAGGAGAGAGCGCGAGGGGTGAAAGAAGTAAATCATGCGGCCCAAGGTCATGTATGCAAAGGCGTTTACCCCTGAGAAAGCGTTAGACTTCTTTCAGTGAAAATGCAACTCAGATCTTTGTACTTACAGATAGGCGCAAGCAAGATGAAAATCTGAAAAACGAGGTAGATGCCGTTACTCTGCTGATTCTTGCTGCTTGCAGCTCGGAAGATGAAGGCCAGAGTCTCCCAAATGCTCGCCATTATAATAACCCAACACCATCTCTAGATGCTAGTCAGATACTGAGCAACTCACGTCGACTTACTAGCAATGCTAAAACGTACGAACCTTCTTGTGCTTGGCGGCCTGCCAGATGTGGACGGCGGTCAAAATGCCGAAGAGAGCCGCAAACACCGCCGCAGCCGCGAAGCTAGGGTAGTAGTTCCAGATGGCACCGCATTCGCCGGGTGGGATGTAGCCATTGGCATCGGGCTCGATCGTCTGGACACACGTTGGGATGGCGATATCGATGGTCTTTGCTGGGACTGTGACGTAGCTATTCGTGACGCCGGGAATGGTGATGTACTTTGTCGCGATGAAGTCTCCCGTCGGAATAGATGATGTTGATGAAGAAGTTACAGTAGAGTCTTGACGATTTGCCAAAGAATTTGGCAAAGTGGGCGTGGGTGAAGGTCCTGATGGCAAAGCCAGGGCGGTCGCAGCCGCGGCCAACGTGATCCAAGACAAGTGCATCGTGATGAGTGTCGAAAGATGTGGAATGACGAGGAGAATTGAGCTTGATGATGTTGAATTTTCTTCATCTTCACAACGAAGTCTGCCATTCTCGCCTTTATAAGTGAGATTCTTAGGCCTTCATCGCTGGTGTAAGTGAATGTCGATAATCGCGGTGCCTGGCGATGCACAGCCCCCCACGTTCGCAGCTGTTATGTAAAGAAGCGAGCCGACCAATCGTAGACTCTCAAGGGGCGCAGCTTGTCGATGATAGCAATGTAGAGTGTGAACCCCTGCAATGTCAGCACGGTAGCTTGAGACCTGGCCGCGTGTGAGGCGTAGCCTTCCTTCGAGAGGTTTAGCGTCATCGAGAGAGAGACGTGCGGAGGGAAGCAGGCCCTGGGCAAAAAATAGCAACTAGATAATCATGGCTTGCGCTTCAATTGTACTCGAAACCACTCCTCCTGGACAGTGATAGGCCCTCCGTGCTCCCTCATCAAGAGAGCGACCTTCTTCCACATGGCGATACCGCCATTCTTCTCGTGGACGAAGCGTACCTCATCTTGCATAGCCGAATCTTTAATTCGCCGTCCTTCCGGTGGTAACGTCCCGTCATCGACGACATTGGCAATATGCTCATCGTGTCCGAGGTCCAGCTCGTGCTCAAACTCGACAATCTTGCGTCCGAACGCCAGAACAGTGTTGAAGTCCCAGAGGTTCTCCCTCTCGTGAGCAATCGTCTTCATGAGACTCAAGGCGGCGATTCGCAGTGACAAGGACCGGCACTTGATAAAGACGAATCCTAGCAGTGGGCTGAAACCCATCTCAAAGGTGAACTTGGCCCGTCCGATCCTCTGCCACATTTCTCGGAAGATAGTTTCGACTTCGCGACCAAGCTCGATGATCCGTTGGAACTTGTCCAGATGTAGATCGTATACCAATTCGCCGCGAGAAAAACACGTGCTGAGCCAAATCTTGCCTACGTGCCACTTCATCTCAAGTAGGCGTTCAACGAGCTCTTCTCGCATGGCGGCGCGCTGGCAATTATTCGGGGACTTTTGCACCATGTACGCTTGGAATGCCGCAGCCCAGTCATCTAGCAACTCGTCCATCTCATCTCTTTCCTGCATTGTTAACATATCCGGCTTGGGATGCGTCTCATCACCAAGGCGATATTCGTCAGCGGCCCGTACAAAGCGAATCGCGCGCACAAGTAACGGGTCCAGCGCTGCTTGAACCTGCTTTAAATTGTAGAACGGGGGGACTGGAACTGGATACGAGTCTGGTATGGCCGGAAACGTTTCCGGTCGGGCACCGAAGAAGAAAGGGAACACTCCAAGGCGACAGAAAGCCGGCGTGAGGTGCTCTCGAACGAATCGCGACGTAGACCTGGAACCATTGAGGATGTTTATGCCGTGCCTGCAATGGTCGATGGCACCCTTGCATTCGCCACGGAGCATATCGATACAAACGAAGAGGATGCACACAAACAGGACCGTCTCCTGGTTGTTTGTTGTTCGGAGGTGTTTGATCGCCTCGTTGTAATGCGCAACCGCAAAGGAATTCTTCTCCGAATGCCGGTCTAGGGGATCCTCCTTGAACTTCTCGTACAGCGAACTGATGGCCAATGCGGCATGTTTCGCAGCAAGCTCCTGGTGAGAGACCTGAGAGACAAGATGAGTCCAGAAGTAACTATCCAAGGGCCCGGACAAGACGGGGGCGACGACTTTGCGGAAGAAACTCAAGGCCCGGAGTTCTGCGTCCGATGCGGCCTGGGTCGGAGGCGGGTGGATGCGGAGCAGCTGAGCCCATGAATATGTCCCCGTTGGCGGTGTCACGTAGCCATCGCATCTCCGGCCCGTGCTGACGCACCTGTTGCATGCCGGGCGTGCTTCATCACATTTGACTCTTCGGATTCTAGGTTGGTTAGCTCTAACGTACGTGTAGGTATGAATGATGCCTTAGAGCTTGCGGCTGGGCTGTTGGACTCACTTGCAGGTTACACAGCCCGTCTTAACCTTTGCTACCCCGAGTCGAGCCATTTGCGCGCCACAAGAACAAGCAAGCAAGCAAGCGAGTTGTTAGGGCTGTGTGGTTGTTGTGTGATGGAGGTGGAGATGCGCCCTGAGAGACGCGTTTCTCACCTATCTCGTAAAGATGCGAGGTGGCCTATGAAGAGACAGGGAGTCGATAGTAAGGTATGTTTGATGTCAGGGAACGAGCCTCCTCAAGTAATGTGAGCTTGCGTACGAATAGTCCCCGCGCCGTCGCGTCGACTAGGTGGGCGGACTAGGTGATGTGCCATGGAACTGAATCCCGAGCCACATAGCGTGACGTTGTCGTTCGACGGTGTTCGTTTCAGAAGCGAACAAGAGAGCCTGAGACCAGAAACGCAGCATAATACACAGTTTCCCGGCGTGTCTTCGTGTCCAGGTTCGCAGTGACCACCCTCCCTTGCACACAGCTCGTGTCACCATCAGCCACCTACTCCCATCCACGCAACCATACCAAAAGAAGATCGGCCGGCCGCTTTTGAAAATAAGCCCCGAATCCCTCAAGTAAAAGCCCACTCTCTGCGGGGCAAATGCGACCAGGCCAATCGGGCGCCGTGGACTCTAAATAAGGTCTGCTTATCTAAGTTGTTCTCTCTCGCTTCTTCCTGCGCTTCAGTGTCATCTCAACTTCAACAATGACATGACAAGACACCTTCATCTTTGTCTCATTACATGATTCCGTCATTACAGAGTCCAGACGCATTACCGCGTTACCGAGCAAGAGGAACCTTCCGATAGTGGCATTCAACCTATTGATGCCGAGCCTACTCGAAGTCAAGCGCGTCTACAGTCCAACGAATCACCTCTCGATGAACACGAAACTGTGCTGATAAGTAATGTCGGTGCTCATCATCAGCACCGCTCCTAGGTCGAACTAAAAGAACGGGAAGACGGCCCGCAAGAATGCGGGAAGCTTCGTGGGCATCCGAGATCGGGCCCGGGAGGCATTTGGCATACCGGCCGATCTTGAAGACGCCGGCGATTGAGCAGCGGCACGACAAGTGAACACGCTGCCGTCGGATCTGATCGAACACAGATATTTTGAATCATCAAGTCATATTCTCGAGCTGGCTTCTGGTAGATGACGGCCTCACGAAGCCGTGTCCGACACTCCCAGCTCTTCCCAAAGCGCTCAGCAAGATAGCAACGAACCAGACCTCCAGCTTCTACGTCCTCGTCGCAACTCCGACTTATCCGGCCAATGCTACATATGACTCTCCGTCCGATGTTCTTCGCTCCGTCGCTTGCTAACCTTTGAGGCTCCGCTGGAGCCGGGCAAACGTTGAGTCCTCGACCTGGCCGAGACTCTCCCCGCGCGGCTTCACCATGGCGTATAAGGCGGGGTTGCAATGACACCGATGTCCGACCTCCCCGAACTGTTTCCCCCGCACGTCACTTCTGTCAAGTTGTCAACACACCTCGAAACACTCAGTCAGACCTCTGTCGCAGCTTGACGTGAACCGGCATCCCGTCAGAAATCTGCGGTGTGCCCTTTTCAGTCTGGTAGCACCGGTCTCCCTCCACAAGCATTTTGGGGTTTGTGGGATTCCCGCTGCGCAAAGAGTCAGCATTTAGGTCCCCATGATTGAACGAGTTCTTGAGGTATGCGGTTTTGGGAACTTACTTGAGGGCATCCCACTCATCCCAGGCGCAGTCAATCTCAAAGTTGCGCGCGAGGGAGACCAGGACCAACTTCATTTCAACTACGGCTAGCTCTTGGCCAATACAGGCACGGCTTCCGAGTCCAAAGGTCCTCCATCCGTGCTTCTTTGGGTGCAATGGATCTTCCGGGTCTGTCGTCATCCATCGCTCTGGCACCACCTCGTTGCCTCTCGGCCATAATTCCTCGTTGCGAGACTGCGAACGTAACCCGTCCCATATGAGGAATCCGCCGGTGGGATACTGCTCTCCTGTGATGCTGTCGGTGATGCGATAATGCGATTGTCCGTCTCGAATGACAGGAGGACCGGGGAACAAGCGCAGTGCTTCCTTGATAACTCCGCCTGTGTAGAGGAGGGAGTTGAGCAAGTGCGGCGACTCTCTGATCTTGGCGGTTGCATCTGCGGGGTCTTTGCCCAAGACTTCGTCGTGTTCAGCCCGTAGCTTTTGGCCAACTTCGGGATTCTTGGCGATGCAGTGTATCGCCCAGCAAAGGGCCGTGGCCGTCGTATCGTAACCGGCAAACATGAAGATCTTGAGCTGGGAGACGACTGTCTCTAAAAATAACCGGTCGACATTGACCACACCAGACATGGGCTTCAGCGCCAAATCGATGATGGTCTTCAGCCCCTCTTTCTTCTTTGTTCCTTTGAGGGAACGCTCGATCGATGGCAGTAGCTCGCTGTACATTGTCTCCCTGTTCTCTTTGATAGCAGCCAGCCGCCACGGGCTGTACCACTTCCACATGGTGACAATGTTAAGGTGGAGAATCACCCTAGAAATCTGGTCCATGAGAGCACTTCTGAATCTGCTAGGTCCGTTTGTCTGCTCATGAAGCTCGATATCAAGCACCGCTCGGCCGATGACATCCATGGTCAAGTTGGTCGTGGTCTCCACGAGCGGAAACACATCACCCCAAGAGCCGTCGACGCCAGCTTTTTCCCGCATAATATCGGCGAACACCTCGACATCCTCCAACATTCCGGGAACAAGGCCGAGAACGTTTTTGTTACTGAAACTGGGGTTGAACCTCGCGCGCCACGTCTTCCACGGCTCGCCTACCAAACATGCGAGGTCCATTGCTTCCGTGATCGGGGCCAATGCCTTCTTGGTCCAGTCACTACGCGGCACGCTGGCGTCGAACATGTAGTGGCCTGCTGCTTCCGGGTGCACAGTGAAAACTAGCGGAGGACCCATAGGCCACATGTCGGCATAGACTGCTGAGGGACACGATGTCCGGCCGGGGAAGAGCGTTTCCCAGTTGTCGACGATGGCTTGAGCATAGTAGTTGAAGTGTACGTCTTTGGGTAAGTGCGAGGTGAGCTTCATGAGTAGGCGCAAGTGGCCAAATAGAAGCGAGTGAGGCATCATTGGCTATGTCGTGTTAGAAGCCTGGTTTCCCAATTGTGCTTGAAAACTCACGACTCCTTGTCTCTGAAGCTTGCGAAACCTCAATCGCTCTTGGACCATTCGAGCCAAAACGTAGCCGATGCCAAGTGCTGCGGCCAGACCCAAGAGGCGGAACAGCATTGCCATGGGGCTGTCGACCCCCGAAGCTGCGAAAAAGCCCATTTGAGCGGTCTCCTCTCTGATGTTCCGGCAGAATCTGCGGGTTCTCTCTCAAGTCACCTTCGTAGCTCTCTCTAGCGACAAGAGTGCCGAACCACCGCTTCTCTTATACATAAGTATAACGGGAGGACCCGTCAAGGATTGACATATGCCGCGGTCGTAAAATGACAAAAGGCAGGGCCATCATTGGTTCCACGATCAAATACCCCTCTCAAACCAACGGTGGTATCGCAGGCCGAGGAACAAGACTGACGTAGAGTCGGCCGCCTTCTTCATATGTGCATGCCCCCGCGGGACTCTGCATCGGGATTCTCCATTCTTCAGGCTTGGTTTTGCAGAAACGGGTCGAGAAAGCCGTTCGTTGCGGGTGCTTTGTGGGAACTTTGGGCGGGGATCTGGCGGCTTCTGGATCTGCGAGCAAGGGTTGTGCAGGGCTTCCGAGGGTAACCTGACTTATCGTAACTGCGCCGTTGGTCGGTTGGTTGAATTTGGTTCTTTGGTATATGTAGTGTAACGGTGTAACGATCGACAGCGGATAAGTGATATGTGCTCGCATATCCGTATTGGTGTTGGTGTCGCACATCATTTGATCATCGCGAGGTGGCTCTGAGTACCTCAACTTCGAGTGGTGTTCTCGGAAAACTTTCTGGGTACCACAGCAGCCTTGACGTGACAAGTATCTTGACGTGATTACAATTACTCGGCGTACAACGAAACTCGTTGTTTCTTTCACTTGCCGCATTAACTACATCGTCGCTTGTTCCCAGGTGAACACATCTTACCTACTTCATCAACGAGGCCTTAATTGATACAAACTTTCATGTTATGGGAGACCCTGTATATCTTTCTCGGCCCATATTTCGTTGCACTGTCATTCAGCTCAGCCCATTCTGTGGCTGGAAATGTCGCCAGGTGTCTTCATACTATTTCGGGGTGAGTCATGCGGCAAACACAACTAACCCGATGAGACTCAACACATAGAGCGCGATCTGAGCAGCGCCACCAATACACCTTTAAGAAGGAGGCAAAGACACTTCTCTAAATCGAGATACTTACTAAAGAATAGTTATGGTTCAAGAGACCAAAGACTAGATTCATTAAGTGGGGTAATCTTTTCTTGATAAACTCACCTTTGTCCCCAAATGACTGCCAATCATAAGCAAGAAGCACCCACAGGCAATTGGAAATTATCGCCAGAACACAACCACAATGTCGGAGATCGACCCTTCAAGCCCACATATTGCCACCTTCATGGCCAAAGTCTCCGCTGAGCTCAATATTCCTCTTTCGCCACCCAAGGATGTGACAGCTTTCGGCGACAATCCGGCCTTGAAAGACGAGCTCCTGGATCTTCTGCTTCAGGGCAAGAAAACATCTACAACAACCTGGCCAATCCCTGAAACGCTTCATTGGGGAGTTGGTGACCTTTCCATTATACTTGACGGCAAAGGAGAACCAAGGGCTATCATCAAGACAACGTCGTTTGAGAGATGCAAGTTTCGGGATGTAAGGGAGGAATTCGCGCTTGCGGAGGGAGAGGGGAATTATCAAGAATGGAGAGACGGGCACAAACGATATTTCGAGCGCAGCGAGGATTCAAAGGATTTCAGTGAAGACGTTGAGGTGCTATGCGAGTGGTTTGAAGTAGTGTATCCTCAAATTACGAGGAAGTAGAGTCGAGCAAACCCATGTTGGGGAAGAGAATGTGAAAACCGCTTTGGCTTGGGTCAACAAATATCAACAGATAAGAGCTAGTATAGAAAAAATTGTATCAAATAATCTTCTCCAAGAGCAATCGACGTGTACGGAAGTGCTCCGAGGCAAAAGAGAGGTGATCCGCAGCTTGTTGCCTCGAAATGCAAAAGAATTGGGCCCTAACCAGGATTCGAACCTGGGACCTCTCCCAGACGTGTCGTGAAGACCCTAAGGGAGAATCATACCGCTAGACCATCAGGGCGGTTGAACTCGAACTGAGCTTGTTATCGATGAGGTCCAGGGCAAGATGCGAGACTATGTTGTGTTTGTGGGTGGAATAGGGCTTTTGTCGCTCGTGGGGACGTTTGGGGGCCGAAATGAGGATCCGCGGGCCGGTCCCGGACGCCCACAACCCGGAGGGACCGGCTCTGATGTGCCGGAACCCCGTGGTGCAGTGGTCCTGTAATCTGGCCAGCGGGCGCGGGTTGAGCTTGAAAACTGGCGCAAAGGGTGCTGCAAGGTATGAGGCAATTTGTGATAGGATCCAGTTGTCACAAGCGCACCAGCGAAGCCGGCTTTCTTTTTACACCAATGAACATTGAAATCTCAAGAGTGAGAGACGAGTTCCTAGACTCTAGTCACTTTGGCTACATTCTGGACGCATCGAGAGTCTGCCCTTGGACGTACTCAAATTTCGACCCCAGGAATTCATTCCAAAGATGTTGGGCTCTCATTCCCTAAATTCCCGAAAATGGGCTCCTCATCTAGTTCCATGGGGATTTGGTGTCCCGCTGTGTGCACCCCACGTTGATGTGGACAGCTTGCATGGGGTTTTTTCTTTCCAGCATGTTGCTGGACCTCTTGTGGGTTCACAAGTACAACGCGGCAGTCCGGCAGAAAATTTTGGGAAGAAAGGGTGAGACTACAAATACTAGAGCAATAGTGTTGTGGTAACTAATATCTTGCCAGTCGCCAAGCGAAATGGAGTACTCTCGATTTCATCATGCAATGTGTAGAGGTGAGTCGAGCCGGCGGTGTGCTTTGCGGGACTCAGGAGACGGGGAATGCGGAGAAGATCTCCGAATGTAAGATCTTGAAAACCCGAAAAGAACTGCTTTCGAATCTCGGAAGCACAAGCGTGGTCTCAGACCTGGACGCTCATTTTGAGCCAAAGAGTGCTGTATTGCTGCACCCGTGCAGAGTTGGGGAATCTTAGAAACATTGCATTCCAGTTGGTCCCGGTTCTGGAGCTTCAAGCATAACTGTGACTAGCTCTCTCGTGAAGCAGATCACCTCAAGTGCTTACTTTCGAGCCGTAAGCTTATGTGCATTAGTGCGATACCAGTCTCGTAGGCTGGACTGGTACATCTAAGCTGCATTATTAATGCTCTTTGACGCTTGAGCCTGGGACGCTACCAACCAAGTTCGCGTCATAACATGATGAACGCGTACGTCCAATGCCTCGATTGATCCGGCAATCCGGGACAAACTTTGAGGTCGATATTTTCTTTGGGTGAACCTTGATGTCGCATTTATTCTTCTGTGAACATGCAAACTCTCGATGAATCTCCATTGCTCCAAAGATTCGTACATCAAGACGACTGGAAGCTTGACCAACATCCAGATAAAGAACTGAAATCATATAGCGGCCTACATGACAATGCTCAGTCATGGAGTTTGGATTGCGTTCCTCGCAACGGCTTACGCTGCAGTTCTGCCGTCAACGCAGTTGCCACGTGAGGTCAAAGCCTCTTCCATCTCTAGCATTGTAGTATTCGGTGACTCTTTCAGCGACAACGGTAAGCGATCGGTGGTAATTCGACGGGCTTGCGTTCAGGATGACATAGCTGACGGGATGCGAGTTGCAGGGAACGGGGCTGCTCGAGTATCGAATAATGCCTGGCCTACAGACAAATAGTCAGTGAACCCCTTTCCGCTATATCTGTTCTAGTTCAATTCATGTAACAGCCAATTCAGCTACAAGGGTCGCTTTTCGAACGGCATCGTCTGGGCAGAATATGTAGCAGCTAACCTCTCATTGCCCCTTTACGACTATGCGGTAGGAGGTGCAACGACTTCGAATGCCCTTATCCAGGGCTACACAGGCGCAAAGGGTGATATCGCTGTACCTTCTGTTATTGATCAAGTCGTCTCGTTCTTGGCGAAGATAAATCCTCAAGGAGGAGCCTTCGAAGCGTCCGATTCGATAGCAATGGAAAGCCCACTGCTGATCCTGTTTGCTGGTGCCAACGATGTCCTGTTCAACGCCAACATCAGTGCTTCGCAGTCGTATCAAATTCTTCGTCAAGCCGAAGCACAGCTCCGCGATGCGTACCCAAGTGCAAGACTCTTGACTCTAACGCCGCCCGATATCTCCAGACTTCCGTATGGCTTCTACTTGGAAGACAATCTGGCAAAAAACCAGTTGCGAACTTTCACAGACCAGCTGGGAGAACTACTCGACAGGTCAAAGACGGGAGCCGTCAACCTTGATCTTCGGCCGCTCTTCGACGACTTTGAGTACTATGCTTCTCCTCGGGCGTACGGATTTGACCCACTGGGAAAGTACGGCAGTTGCCTCGAAGGTGCATATGGCGAGACGTCGAACGTGACGATCTGCGGAGACCCAGATAGGCGGGTATACTGGGACGAATACCAGTGAGTTGTGACTGGGCTCTTCTTTTCGTTTCTTTTCCGAGCCGACTTGCCGTTTACCCAGCCTTAAGCTCTCATTCTGACGTCGTGCAGTCCTACAACTCATACCCACTCGTGGATTGCCAAGGAGGTTCTAGACGTCCTGAGAGGTCCGTTCTGATTACCTCTTGTGGTTGAGGGAGCCAAAGTTGGAGTTCCGAGGTTGTCGGTTTCGGCATAAATGGAAGAATGCAAGTATACGGGGGGCAGCGTAGAAGTTTTCTTGGAAGCAGTTTTACAGAAAGAGCGATGAACAAAGGCGAGACATTGGATCAGACGAAAGAAGCAAACTCGCTGGGCCAATACCAAGTTCCAATTCCAACTTCGGTCCAAGACCAGGGGACCCCCCGCAGGTCTGTCCTGAAGAGGCGAAGGCATCCCAACCCTCCCCTGCCAACTCCACTTGACCCGGCTATTGTTGACGCCAACTCTCTGTGTCAAACAAGCACGGACGAGTTGTTTGCGAGCTGAGGATACTGCGTCCCGCCCGTTGCCGCTGACAAAGATGCATCCTTCAGGGGCGGAGTTCTTGGTTCTTCGTCAAGCTGCTACGAAATCCGATGTGCTGACCATGGCTACATAAAAGTCAGACAGACTGAACTGGATCAGCTATGATTTGTGATAAGATAGAAACAAGCTCAGAGTATTGAACTAATTTTGGTGGTATTCTTTCTGCATGTTCATGCTTCGGACTTGTACGATGGATCTCCATTCATCCATATTGGATGGCGAATTTCGAGTAGAATATTTTGACATGGTCCACAAGTCTTGGCAAGGCTCGTTGTCACAGAAAGCACGGTACGAAATTCAGGGCTGGTGGCCGCGTCTTATTCTCTGCCCATGATAAGCGGAAAATTGAACGCAATGACGTGGAAACAATTTGGCTTTAAGCGCTCTTACGTTCCCGAAGCCGGACTTCCGGGCCTAGGTGGATGAAGTTATGGTTAATTGGTTATTTGGTGATGTGGCTCAACAACAGACGAAAAGAGAAGCAATCTCGGAGGCGTCTCACCGATCAATGTCACAAGCCGTTGAAGCAGGGCAAGGCAATTCGCCAATAATGCGGACATGACTTCCCGAAAGCGTTCTTTGCAGTTAGTCGAGTGTTCCCTAACGCCGCGACTCTCCTGAGGCCCAGGAGTTTCCATCCCACGTTGCCGCCCAGAATTGTTTTGTTAAGGCTGGTCCCTGTGCAGGCATGTCCCCTGGCCTCATTTAAGCGCGACGTGCTGCCATCTGATGACGCGTAACTAAGACATGGTCCGCCCCCGGTAGACAGGGAGACTAAGCAGCGTCCCATCACCTCTCTGGACTCTGCATCCCCGTTAAAAAAAAAACAAGTGAAAACCCATGAACTAGGAACAACGGCACCGTTCCCCTCGCCCTAAAATGTAAAGGTGAAACGAAGACGACGACGTCCCTCATTTACAGCAAACGCCCCATGGTCGGAAAATAAGGGAGCAGTGGGGACCCTGGACCCGTCTTCCTTGAAACACACGGCCGTGATGGGTTGAACATCGAAAGCCAACCACTCAGAGCCTCCCACACACACTCCAGTCATGTTCCCATCCTGGAGAAGATCTGTTGTTCCTTGGTCTGGTCTAGAACCCTCGAGGCTCGAGCAAGTTGTTGGTATCAGCACTGTTGACTCGCTGAGCTGCGCGCATCCACCCATCCATCTGCACCATCCACCCACCCACGCGGCATCCATCCTCCTGATCCCGCCGCGGAAAGCTAGGCCAACAGTTGCCAAACTCCTGTTACCCCTGAGAACCCACCCGTTGGAAATTGACAGCAATATGGCGCCCATGCTTCTCACCACTGTTCTGTCTTGATCGAAAGCGGGAAAGTCGGGCCACCCTTCTATCCAAGCTGGACCTTGAGCCGCAGACAACTACCGAATAGTGGCAACTCGTCCGGGGCCAAAGTCGCCAAACATGGTTCTTGCTCTGCTAAACGCCCACATCCCGCCGGGCTGGGTCGGCTCCCCTTGTCGATCTGTGTCGTCCGATGGCGCAACAGTTCACCATGTTGCTCGACCAAGTTGACGCCATCCTGGCAAACCATGAGCCAAATCGGTGGCGGATGGCAACCGGGATCCCAGACGTCGAGATCGATATAAGATGCAGCTTTTCTCCTTCCAAGACCAGTCTTCTTTTTGCTCTCCATCCCACTCCATCTTCATCACTTTCATTCCAAACACATTGAAGCTAGTCTTCTTTTTCCGTTCTTGATACCAAGCCTTTCATTCGTTCCTTCGAACCACATTCATTACCAACCTTTCCCACCTCACAAAACAACCTCTCAGTCAATCTCATAACTCAGACAAAATGAAGGCCAACGTTATCGCCGCTACCATCCTTGCCGCCTTCTCGGCTGGCGCTTTCGCTCAGGACCAGGAGGCCGAGTTCCCCACTGGCTTCCCTACCGACCTCCCCTCCGGCTTCCCTACTCAGGTCCCCGGCGCCGCTAAGCCCTCCGGCGGCTTCGGCGGTGGCTTCCCCGGCTTCCCCTCCGGTGGCTTCCCCACTGGCTTCGGCGGTGCCCGCCCTACCCAGGTTCCCGGCGCTGCTCAGCCCTCCGGCGGCTTTGGCGGCAACTTCCCCGGCTTCGGTGGTCACTCTGGCTTCCTGACCCGCACCCGCGGCTCCTCCGAGGAGGCTGCTGGCTTCGGCGCCCAGGCTGTTGAGACCCCCTTCCCCACCGGCACCCAGTCCGGCGGCGCTCGCCCTACCGGCAAGGGTAAGGGCAAGGGCAAGGGCAAGAACCACGGCACCGGTGCTCTCCCCTCCGGTGTTCGCCCTACCCAGGTCCCCGGTGCTGCTCAGCCCTCCGGCGGCTTCGGCGGCAACTTCCCCGGCTTCGGTGGCGATGCTCCCTCCGGCGCTCCCTCCGCTGAGCCCACCTCCGCTTAAGCGACAAAAACAACTTCGACGATGACAAATTCGGCTTATGGGTTTGACTTGGACCACTTGGTTCAGCAAACGGCTTTATCTGGAGCGTGTTTGGACGATTTCTAGTGATGGAAGATGTGTTTCTTTTCTTACTACTCCACGTGGAGCTTTCATTGTATAAATACAAAAGCCACTTGGAGTAGCTGGCTGGTACATTGCATAGGCGTTTGCTTTTTGTAAACTTATCAAATAAGAGCATCCGTCTTTTTCAAACTTCTGGGCCATGAATTTGCTGTGATTGCTAACTTAGAGATATGTTCACATAAACTGCTTTGGCTAATTCGAAGATAAATTCAGTCCCCGGAAGTTACAATTCGGATGTTCCAACTACCTTAGGTGATGAAATTGGGATGCGCTTTTCATTCTTCAACCGTATTTATTTGCTGTTCCGTCCTTTCCTACGAACATGGTAAACTAATAGTAACGACGTCCGCGAAGCGAAGCAGTCAAACAAGGGTTGATCACAGATCCAGGAAGGTACAGTGCGTATTTAGCTTCTTGAGTTCTCAACCAAAGTCTAAAAGTACCTTTCAGAGCATTGGTTTCCATTCACTTACCCTGTACGACTGACTACATAGGAATGTCTGTAACCTCACACAACATTTTAATGTACCCCTATATCCGTCCGCGAGCCATTTACAGGCTCACGATGTTTCTTCTGTGGCACATTGCCAGCTACCTAAATCATGTATGGCGGTGGCAGACCACTTGTATTACACTTGCCTCATCTTCTCATCTAATAGTACCTCATGCTCCAGTCTCGTCACAGGAGTTGAGTTGCTGCCATAACAGCAGCCAACGCAAATGCGATAGTGGCAGGCTGATTGCTGTTGGCAGCGCTGGCATCGGTGCTCGAAGTAGCAGACTAGACTCGTGTTAGAGATCTTGACCGTAATCCATGGTTGCCCCAGACCAATAACCTACCGAGCTCGAGCCGGTGGCAGATGCTGTGGAAGATGCACCAGCGGTGCCGGATGTCCCTGCCGTGGTAGTCGTGTTGGTCGTGCTGTTGGAAGCAGTGACAGGCGTCGCGTCAAGGTTACATCCGTCCGCGGCTTCTGTGACACCGTCTCCGTAGTATTGCCAGATGTCAAAGGTATTCGCACACTGAAGGCATCCCTCGAAGTAGTCCGTCCAAGTGGAGTTGGTGCAGTAGCCGTCCTCAGCTGCTCCAAGGATGGCGTAGCCTAGATATTGTTATGAGTCTGTTCGATCCGGCGTATGGAGCACATCGAATCACATACCGCAGTTCTCGTGGCACTCGTACTTGGCTCCGCTGGTGACCTGACGTGCGTGAAGGGGCACGATGGGGAGCCATTCCAAAGCCGTGGCAGTGGAGGCCAAGAGCGCGACAGCTGTGACGAGTTTCATATTGACGACAATGGTGACTAGATGCGAAAGGTGGCAGATGAACTCGATCAATAATGACGAGGCAATAACTAGCAAGAAGGCTGCGCGGTAGAGAATACGCGCTGCGCTCCATCTATCTAGTATTTACCACTGCAGCATCCCGAGCGAGCAGATTGTTTGCATACGCAACCTCTCCCGGGAATCCTCTTGGTGGATCGATAACTCGCAGCTAGATGTTCTTGGCTGGATGCCTTCAGCCGAGGGGCGAATCATGTTCTGGCGGCCGAGAGTGCCGAGGTGCTCAGGTCGCATCGGCGCGGGTTGAAGTGGGGGATCAAGGATGGTTGCGTTGCGATGGGCAAAGTTTCGAGCAGATCTCTGCAATGTCATCGTTCTACGGCAAGAGGCACAGACGAAACACCAGTTTGCAGTAAGTTAAATAAGGTAAGTTGCTGTTGGAAATCCAGTTCACTTCCCCGACGATGAACATAATCCGAGGCAACTGAACAGCTCAGAAGACATCTTACATCAACAAACTCACTGCTTACATTTCTATTCTATAGAGGTATGCTCTTCAGTCAGATCCAACTTTTAAAACAGGGTTCCCATGCCGATGTGGTAGGACAAGATCTGGGCGCATATTATGATTGGTAGATGGCATCTTATCAGATCATCTGATATCCGCTCTGCAATCTCGGTTTCCCTCCACAACACGACACACCTGAGGCCAGCATCTCGGTGCTCCTTTTCTTCGCCTCAGGCCGTTAGGCCGAGACATCTCAAAGGTTCTCCTCCGACTCGGCCGGGACCTTCTCCGGCCAACGGGCCACGACCGCCGAGGAACACCGGCAGGATCGCCTCATTGTTTGAATGGAAGAAAGGGTTGGGCACGAACAGGCCCGGCCGCTGACACCCATGTGATAATCCTGGTTCAATAATCCACCATCATGTGGAGTTTCTTCCTTCGCAGTCTTGCGGTGTGGGCTTGCTTCCCGGTCGAATACGCACCCAGCCCCGTTCGCGACCGTTCGACCCAATCACTCCCCCGACATGCCAGTCAAGGGTTTGTCGTCTTTTGAAAGATCCGGTTCGTCGCAACGTGCTCGCAGCGGATCCTCAACAAACGAACCATGGCGCAAAACTCCCGATCGAGTCTTTGGACGAACCACGCGAGTTCTTACCGCCAAACTTCTAGCCCACAGATGCATGGCCAGCTCAGTTGTGCTAAACCCATTCCGCTCGTTCTTCAACGAAAGAGTCTTGTGCGCCGATGATGTTCCTGTGAATCGCAGGGGATGGTGAAAAAAACCACGGAAACCGAGTGGCTGGCCTACTCAACGCCCACCGCCTCTTACGCGCCCCGGCTCGGCGTCCGTTGCCCGGGTGCTCAGTTGTTCGCCTCACGATGGCAGTCTATTGTCTATTAAAGACTGGCCAGTGGCCGCATCTCTTGTCTGAGTTTCTTTCTTGGAAGATATCCTCTTTCGAGGTCCACCTCGATACACCACCAAAACAATCATTCAACATGGCTCAGGCCTCGCCTTCGTGGCAAAGGCTGTTGGGGCTGCTGTCAGTGCTTCTGGCACTGATCCTCGGCGTCTCGGCCGGGGAGCACGGTGCTGCTGTCACCGGCTGCCCCGCCGATCTCGCCTCGGCCCCGGAACACACCTTTTCTGCCGGCTTCGACAACAGCACCGACGTTGCTGAGACTCAAGCAGAGCGCTCGCACGTCGAGAAGCTCGCGGCGACCAGCTTGCACGGCATGGGTATGCTCCATCTCAACATCCCATGTGTTCTTGGATCCACAGACTGACACTCCTTTCCCAGGCGCCCAATCCAGCTTCGAGGCTTTCCGAGTCGAGATTCCTGCCTCGTGTAACACTCCCAGCATGAAGAGCTCCCTCATCGAGCTCCCCATCAGCTTCGCCAGTCTGCACATGCACCTGCAGAACATCCGAACCAAATAACCTCGATGGCGGTTTGCCCAACACTCAAACCGCCGACACGAGATGAACTACTTCACCCGTGTTGGATTCGAACCTACGATCTCCGACACACTTAAACCCTCACGTCGGGGTGTGCTTGGTGTACCATGATATTACACACTAAGCAAGTCCCGAGCCCGACTGCTCAAAGAGATGAGCCGTCACACAACAAACTATCTACGACAGGAACGACATGACTATAACGAAACGAAACTTACGACAAAAAAAACAATGCAATGAAACACGATGTCACGGACAATATCCCCTCAACCACATGACTGGTTGGGAAGTACGACGAACGACCTTTTCTTTACCTCTCAGATACCAAAACCTTCTCCCTCTTCACCGAGGTTTCAGCCACTTGGCTCTTTAAATACATCTTCTTTGTCTTGAACAAGACTTTCCGTCCCGATGCCAGTGAATTAACCCAAAGTCCGATAAGATTGACATGCTTCACTAATGTACAGAGTACTTTATGGGAATCTGGCGAGTTTGAAGTGATGCCGTTCTTGTCCACAAGCGTTCAACTGAATAGCTTTCCATGCCCATACATACACACAACGAGACATGTAGATCTGCTGACAGTCATTAGTGCTGGTGTGAGTCTTCCGCTGATGTGAGTCTGGGAGTCCCCCAATCGCGCAGATTTATGTCAGTGATTTTGATAATAAAATTGACTTGAAGGCTGCCTTCTGTGGACGGCAACTAGTACGCATGCCATGCTGCAATGTATAAAACACGCCATGTAGACAGCAGAAGCGTCAGGCGCAAGGCATTATGTAAGAGAGCCCAGTGGAGGTATTGAAAGTGCATGTAACTTGAGTATAAGAAAGACAATGTGGAGGGAGAGAGATAAATATTTGTGGGAATACAGGAAGAAGAACTTAAGCGGCCGGCGTCTTCGAATGGTCAGACACCGAGGAAAGTGCCTGACGTTATCCGAACTCGAGTTTCGAAACTCGGACTTGGTTGACCATTCCTGCCTCAATGCCAGCCCAATCGTCACAAGGAAGACGGCTCGAGTCAGTTCCGCCATGACGAACGTCCTGATATGCTTATCACCCATTACTCGGAATCTCCAGCGCAGATGCGCGCGAAAGGAGATTGCTTTACAAAGTAAAGTTAACAATCATTTCAGGGTACTTGCGATTCCCATCTCTTCACCGCACCAAATCGTATTTCCTCTCAATTCAATACGTTTATCTGTAAGATACTATGTCAGCTATTTCCACAGAGTTTTTCTTTTGACTAGTTCAAAACTTACTAAGGTCAATGATGTTCATCCGCAATTCTTTATTGACTCCATCGGCGCAATAGCACGTCATCTCGACCTTTTTCTTGTTGGCTTTACCAAGTGAACACTTTTCGCATGACTTATCAAAACCGCCTCTGGAGTGAAACGAAGAAGATTAGCGGGAAGAATTCAGGGGAGGCTGCGTGCATTCTAACCGTCTCCTCCATTGTATTTTTCCATGGTCGTTGACGAGGCATAAGTTTAGATTTAGCTCGTTATCATACGGCTTGCCGTCCAATGCGGTGCACCCGGCCAAAACTTTGTAGAAGGCGCGTCTCGGACATTCTTTACATGGTTTATAAAATGCTTCCTTGAGACTGACTTTCTTGCAGGGTTCCATGAAGCCACCTTCAGATTCAGCGAAGGAGGTTGTTGCAAAGAAGGCAATAATTGCAGTCATGATGCCGGTCATGAGCTTCATTTTCGCTACTCGTGAGGGACGATTGCGAATGAGACTGTGTCGTAGGGGGATGTGAATGGGAAGCAGGTCGAAATTCGAATACTGTTGCAATTGACTGTCTCCTATAGCGAGGCCGTTGTGTGATATATGAGTGCGAGATAGCGAGAGGAGGAAGTTCAAAGAGTAGACATTGGGATACCAGGCTATTTCAAGCCTAGTAACGAGGCCGTAGTCAAACCACTGTATGAAGGGCAAGGTTAGAACGGTCGCTATGATTTCTATCATCTTTACTTGTTTTAATGTCAGCATGCAGTGGGCGGTGAACGTGGACGGTGTCTGAAAGGAAACTGCTCAGATCTCAAAGGGGGAGGTGGTGAAGCTCGTGATGTCTTCTCCCCCAATTGGAGCCTGGGAAAGTGCGATTTGGGGGCTGAGGAAACATGATGATAGAAAGAACCACTGATTATTGTACTGATCTCTAATGTATATGGGGCCTGGCCTTCTGAGTAGGTGATCGAGGTTCTGATAGGTTGCAGAATGCCTCAAAGGCGGTCGTTCACGGTTCGTAACAAACATGTGAATAACTGCTCTGCACATCGTCTTTCTCAGCATGTTGTTTTTCCAGGGAACAGGAGAAGAAAAATCACCAAGACTTACCGTCATTGCCAGCAGAGAAGGCTCGTTGGAGCGGGTTTCGGCATTTTCAGGCTTGGCTATGAACACCGCCTTTGTTCCGTGGAATCTCATGAAGGCCAAGAGCTGTCGATGTTCTCTCTCCAAAGAACCAACCACTCGATCCGGCATGACCGCCTCATCAAATGACATTGATGGGTGCGCAAGGAGCAGAGTTTGAAATCTTTCGTATGGGTCCTCTACCTGAGACGGTCCATATACGGCACTCGAACCGACCGGACTGAGGTGTATCACCACTCACCTCGAGATACTCGCGTAAGTATTCTTGTTTATACCAAACTTTTCCAGGTTTCTTGCGACCCTGCGTCATATCTTTTTTTTTTCCCTCTTTGATCACCTGACCCGGTTGCTCCTTCTTTCCGAATAGGCAGAGAAAAAATGAGGCTCATGAACACCGGGGGATTTATTTCTCCATGGCAACCAAATTTTGCAGCCTCCATCTACCAACCTCATCCTCTCCCACTCTACCCTACTACCTTCCCACTTTCCTACCACACACAATTTCCAATCCTTTCCTTTCCAATATTATTTCCTTTCACTATCAATTCAACAACCAACGCGGCCCATCCTCGTCACACTCCTCTTCCCACGATCAAAGCACCACCAACCCAATAGCCTCATCGCTTCAATCACAGCTTTCCTGGACGATTCGCCATATCGAAATCTCACAATGCTCGAATTTCCACGCATCTTCCCTCAAAGATTCTTTTCATGACGACTGCGGGCCTTATCCAGTGAGGCAAGCTTGCGGGAACGCGTCACTCGCGTCGCCCTTCGGATCCTTACTTCACTTCCGGCTTGGCGCCACGGCATCTTCAACTCTTCTCTCTCATCGACGACTTCAAGCGGTCCCTCCAATACCAGCAGCTCAGGTAAGTGCGAATATATCCCCAAATCTAGGCGACCTGGAACCCGTCGTTCGCCAACGGATTCTCGAGGAATGCCCCCGTCTACGCGATCACTGTCCAATATCGGTCCAGCACCCTCTTCTCATCATGTCCCATACTTACTCTTCCTTCCCTCAGAATTAGAGCCCAAAGAATTGATCGCTCTTGCTGCTTGAAAAGTCTGTCTAGAAGGCGGTGTGAAGCCTGCCAATTTTCTCCCCTTGACCTCACCTTCCCACCAGGCAAGTACTCATCTCCCCGATCTTTCGGCACAAAGCCGCCTCTCCTTCGTCCCTACAATCTTCGTCTCTTCACACTTCGTCTTTCTCTCTTCGTCCTTTCACACTCAGTCCTTTCATACTTTCCCTCTACACACCTCGTCCCGTCGCACTTCAGCTTTTCACATTCGTCGCTTCATACTTCTTTTTCCCACATTTCCTCCCTTCATATTTCCTCCTTTCGCACTTCGTCGCTTCATACTTCATCGTTTCATACTTCGTCCCGTCGGACTTCGTCTGTTCACACTTCGTTTGTTCATACTTCGTCTCTTCACACTTCGTCTCTTCGCAATTCGTCTCTTCGCAGTTCGTCGCTTCTCTTGCTCATCGCTTTTCGTCCAATTCATGCTTCATTGCTTTCGAAATACCTATTCAACAAGTCTCTTTACTCATCGCTCTTTGCCTCAGTGACCCAAGGTTCACCTGCTTAAGTCCACCAGTCACACTACAAAGGTATTTACATTTTCTGCTCTAGCATGAATCCCAGCTCTCAAATGCACACCATTCTAGCCCTACTCTACGACTTCACATTCTTACTGGAATTCTTGGCTAACTCATCGTGTTCTAGATACCAAAATCGGATGACGTTCACCGTCTGAAGAGATACGACGAGAGATACGACGATGCCTTCGTCGCATCTTCGGACGTATCGTCGCATCTCTAGGATTATCTCAGTCCCGTCCGAATGCAACTTCCGACGGACATCGCCATCTCGACATGTCGCCTGACCACTACCAAGGCATGCGCTGCCATTGAGGTTACAATCGCTCTTGCGAAATTGCAGTCTCCAAAGGCTTGCTCGAATCATGGCCCATAAGAAAAGGCTTGGAATGTGTTTGTTCAAAATCAGGTATGTTAACTACACATTCAAGCAGAACATTACTTGTCTGAGAACGAGCTGGCTGTCCCGTCTCTCTCTGATCATTCTTCTTATTGGTGGCATGAATGTTTGCTAACAATAGCCTTTGCCAGACCTCTCAAAAGAGCATGAGGACAATAGAGCCTCTGCTCTCTCTATTGGTTTGTCTTCTCAAGACACAGCTTGTTTCAAGCCAGAAGATGCCAAGTTGAACCCAACTGCTCGAATAAGTCTATGTTTCCACCAGCGGCTCCAGCTCTGAGCAGCCTTTCGGCACTTCTTAGCGTCCCAGGCATGCCTGAAGCCATCGAACAACCGACGTGGCATCAACGAGGTCGGGGCTTGCTACCCTGGCCTCGCATTTGGGGTGACGTGGGAGACCACGACCACCCCGCGTGCGTCACGGTCCCTCATACCGGCGTTGGAGTCTCCGTGTCCGCCAAAAAACCTCAGTCAGCTGTCTGCGATGTGGTACGGCGGACACGGCGAGTCCAACGCGGGAATCTCGTACATGAGAGGGCCGAATGGCGAACCGGGACCTGTCATTTCCATCATTATGGCAGATAAGTACAGCGATATCGACGTCGACCGAGGTGACGATATTGTCTACTGCGGAAGCAATTCACTTGACAACACCTCGAGCAACACTCCCGCCGATGGCGGACCGCCCGTTCGGGGTAATGCAGAGACTTGTTCGAAAATGCTTCAAGAAACCTCAATGGGCAATTCGAGATCCTGCCCAAAAGACCCCCTAACCGAAGTTGACGTTCCCTTCCGGGAGTCGATGGCATTAATCATGGCCCAGCGCCTTCAATCATCATGGCAGACAAGTACAGCGACATCGACGTCGACCGAGGTGACGGCATTATTTACTGCGGAAGCAATTCACTTGACAACACATCGAGCAACACTCCCGCCGATGGCGGACCGCCCGTTCGAGGCAACGCAGCCCTATTCAAGCCCACAGAGAAGAATATTAGACTTGTTCGAATATGCTCCAAGAACCCTGAGCGGGTGACTCGGAATCCTGTTCCAAAGTTGAACAGGGACTGGCGTTCTCGAGCCCTCAGAAAACCATTCTGAGGGTATTTCCACCAGCTACACCGGCAACTTCCCCCAGACGGGCCATTATCATGTACTTCCTCTAAGAGGGCCGGTCCTGGCTTGCTCGAATACCAGAACAATCCAAGATGCGCGCTCTTCCATTGTTCGAAGAGCTATACCTAGCCCAGCTTCCGGGCGAGACTTTTGGCTCAAGATACGCCATCAAGAGAAAGCTGGAGATCATCAAGAGGTTTCCGCCCGAGGGACGATCCGGAAAACAACATCGCGTCTTCACTTCGCCCGTCAGGGATATTTCAGCTTACCTTCTCTTCTCGAACGACCAGGTTGTCGGTGGTTATCTTCAAGATCTCCCTGACCTCGAAGATCTCCCTGACCTCGATGATCTTGACGCTCACCTTAGGGACCCTAGCTCATTTGCTTTCACGGGCGCCGAGCAGAGTATCAACTTCCACACGAGTTTCGAGGGGATGCCCCCAAACGGTCCGGCCGACCAGTGCTTGGGCCCGACAGTCCTCCCAGAAACTGAACAGGTCAACAACAACAGCAATGGCCTTAGTTTTTCAAGACGGAGTTACAAACGCTACTCCTCCTCTCGCCTATGGGCCCGCCACTGGCCACGCCGCCATGTGGATATTTTACACTGTCAAGCACGGCGAACATGAAAGAGATCATGAACAACTACGGTCTCACGGCTGACGATAAGGACATTTCTCGCACACGCCCAAGTCACTGACACTATCACAATGATCGCCCACCACGCTCAGCAAGCCCACCCCGGGCCTATTACCGCTCGCGGTTATTTCGAATCAGCGACATCAAAACCAACCCTCGGGGCAATGCTGGCTGCAACTACCCCCCGCGTTTTCCGGAAGGCGATGTTTGGGGGGCGTTTGGGGTCTCGCAGAATTCCCTGCTTCGACAACCCTGCTCGAAAGCTTGTTCGAAAGCCTGCTTCAAGGCAATTTTCAACTTTGCTTTCAACAACCCCCGCAGGCGGGCGGCATTTCACGGCGCTGGACGCTTTGTTTTTCTTCGACTTTCGAATGTTGGCGGCGTCACTGCTCGAATAAGTCGAACAGGAGTGCTGGAAGCCTCCATTTGCTACTGGGGGAGCATCCCGGATTGTGTCGGGCGTTCGCATAGTCGCCCAGAAGGAGATGCCCCTTCTGTATACTCGTCTATGCATTGGGGAGGGGAAAGGAGCCCCCGAGGGCATCAAGGGTGCAGTGTGGGAGAGTTATGCTCGAAATGACTGCTCGAATGGAAGAGAGCGCTGGAACGCTTCTCGTCAGGTCTCAAGATTAAGCACATCAGGATTCTCCCGGTGGACTCTTGATCCTTTAGGAGTGTTCAGGGCACTCCCGAGGGCATCAAGGGTGCCGTCTGGGAGACCTGATGAATTCGACTCCGAAACATTGCTCGGAAAGTTGTTCGAAAATTTGTTCGAAAAATTGCTCGAATGAAGGGGGGCGCCGGACACCTCTCGCGAGGTTTTGAAGATTGGGCATCTTCATGGTCTCCTGCTCCTTCTGTGCGATCATCTCGCACAGAAGGAGATGTTGCCCCAGTCAACTGAGCGCATCGTTGAGGTCCAAGGCACACCCGAGGGCATCAAGGGAGCGATTTGGGAAATCTGCAAGTGTCTCGTCGACGATTGGCAGATTCGACGACGAGGACCTCCAAGGAAGAACTCGGGCGCAGACAGGCAGCAGGAAGGACCACCGCCGCTGCAAGTTCAAGTACTACCAGCGCAGACAAAGCCGGTCCAAGTACCGCAACGTATACCGTTGCAAGGGCTATCCCGGAAATCACGATTGCAAGAACATGCTCTACAACCCTGTCCTTTGTACCCAGTCCGATGCAACAAACATGGCGTCGATTTCTCACTTCTTCAAACAAGAAACGCGCTAAGACATATGACCCAGCCAAGAGGATTCCAAGAAGCGTGCCAAGATCACTCACGTAGAAAGGAGGATATGGGACGGAATGGTCTTCTGCTGGAGTCAGGCAAGCATCATCTTTTGAGCTGATGTTCGAAAACATTCTCAATAGGAGGAGCCTGTCCCAGGATGATGTCGATGGTTATTTCACTACAAGCCGTCAATCTCACCATCGACATCATCCTCGGAATACTTGAAGTCTTCGTCATCGCTTGGAGTCTGGTGGTTATTGGCTAGGCTGAGGGCCGCCGCAACCCTGATGACATTCCCAAATTGAAGTTGCGGGGGTGAGGGTATCGACATGGACGTGGGGAGTGCTCGAACAATGGGAGACACAGGTTTGAGGGCATGGATATGGATGATGGTGAAGGGTCGAAGGGAAGGGGTTACGGAGGTGAGGGTATCGATGTGGATTTGGGAAGAGACCGAAGAGCAGCAAGTACGGGAGTGAGGGGATGAAGGAAGCGAAAGGGAGTGTTCAAAGAGTCGTCTGAGGTTTGGAGGTTTGGACATCAAGCAATATCTGAGCCGAGGCGCTCTCTCATGGTCGGCGAGCCTACTACTCAACGTTTCGAACACGGTGTCCGAGAGCAGAGGAGTTGGACTGCATAGCTCGAAAGAAACAGAAGGAATTCATGGTGGAGAGGACGATAGGGGGGATTAGCTCAATACTACAGAGCGTACTCATAGAGAACGGACAAAACGCCTTTCTCAATCATCAAGTCCTCAAGTCAGTGCATTTGTGAGAAGGGCCTTGGCGAGGAAAACCTATCAGAAGCCATAGACGCAGGCTGGACTCACTCTGGGTGTGTTTTGCACGTCTTCATCAATCGAAATCTGCTAGGTATATTCATGTATCGTGACACCGCCTCGCCGGGAATCATTCAAACTTTGGTGGATGTAGTCCACCTTTCATCGTAGTTTCAAAGAACTTCACTTCCCAATCGCCATTTTCATCTCTGCATCAGTCTAGAAAGAGAAGAACGTCGCCGCCAACAGCGCAGCAAATCCAAGACCAAGGGAAGGCGCAAAGCCACTTGCAGCATCAGGCTTGGCCGTCGAGGTCGCGGTACCAGTGACAATGGTGCCAGGAGTCGTCGACGTCGGCGTAGCGTCAGTCTGCTGCAGGATGTAGATCTCGCCCGTTGAATCGGAGGTCATGAACAAGCGGTTCTTGGAGTCCCAGGCGAGACCGACGGGGCGGAAGCACTGGTCGGGGCAGGTGCTGAGATCCTTGTTGTACATGATGTTCTTGAGAGCGTCGGTCGAGTCGCTCTTGGCGACGGGCTCGCCGTTGGAGAAGTCGACTGCGGTGAGGGCGTAGCCGACGGGGTTAGGGCGGTTGACTGCGCGCTATGTTAGAATTCTGATGGACTTGTGATCGGGTGGGTGGAGACACTTACAGCTGCCGCGGAACGACACGAAGGCCTTTGAGCCATCGTCATTGAACTTGAGGAAGACGGGGGACGAGTGAGACTGGAAGGTCAGGAGGGGAGCGACGTAGTCGTTGTGGCAGCGGGTATCGTTCATGGTCGAGTTCTGCTCCATGGAGAACTGGTCGCCGACGTTGAGAGAGCTATTGAGCGGGATGCTAGTATCCCAGACTGCAAAGCACCGCGGGTAACCGTAGTTGCTGGCGTCGGTCTCGTTCGCAATGGTACCGAGCAGGTTGAGCTCCTCACCGGGGTTGTTGGCGTGGATGTCGACGCCGTTGCGCGTGATATCGTCAATGGAGTTGTCCATCGCCCAGACGTTGCCCGTAGCCGGGTCCTCAGCAACGGCGACAGCATTGCGAATACCCCAGCCAAGAAGCTTGCCATCCGTGTTGAAGTCGAAGGGGTTGTTGCCGGACTTGCTCAGGTCAAAGGCCTTGACTTGAGCGTGACCGCTGTTGGCATCGAGGGCGTCAATGTCAAAGTTCTCGTCGACGCCGCGGGACACGACAAGCCAGTTGCTAGAGGCCTTGGACATGACCAAGGTGCGCGTGGTCTGGTCGTTGTTGGCCATGTTGTTGATGACGACAGCGGGTTCGGCGTTGACGGTGCCGGCCTTTGCGTCGTAAGCCCAGGCGAGGACTTGGGAGACGGAGGAGGCGTACAGGGTCTTGCCATCTTCTGAGAAAGCCATGCCGTGTGTGAGCTGGAGGATGACATGTTAGCACTATTATCGCCTCCGGGGATTCAAGGAAGTGAAGCCTCACTTTTGTGTTGTTCACAAGTAGCTTGCTCTCGGTCAACGTCAGACATGTACCGCCATTGTCCTTGAATGTGACGCGGTAAACACCAACAGCGGCGTCCAGGACGAGCAGAGCACCCTCGCTGTCAACGTGAATTGTGCGAGGCTTCTTGAAGCCATTGGCGACGAGCTGTGCTTGCCAGCCAGCGGCGACCTGAGGAGCATTGTAGCTGGGGGTAATGATATCGGCGCATTGTTGCGCGAGCGCCGTGGTGGCGGCTGCTACCGCGAGCGCGGCAGTTGTCAATCCCTTCATTTTGGCTGGGGTGGGGTAAAGGAGCAAATCTGGATTCAAGCAATCGCGAGAGGCTACAACGCTGTCACCTTTGAGAACTGTCGAGCGTACATGAATAAAATGCCCCTGATATATTCAAGGTGAGGGGAAGCTCAGTGGCAAGGTGAAGAGATCAGTTAGCCACAAAATAGCTTCGGAGCAGATTGGAACATGTCCCGCGAGACGGGTAGCGAGGCATCTGTCGACTTTCAGGGTGGCTGTCCAAAACTCCACTTAAAAAACGAGAGAGACAAAGCTCTCTGGTTCGGGATAAGATGCCCCTCCATCATCCCCCCTCCATCATCCCCCCTCCATCGCCTCCTTGTGCGGCGGCTCGCGAGTGGTTGACATGTACGCGAGCGGGCGATCCTCTGTGCCTCTTTGGGAGCTGCTCACCTGCTCTAGCGCAATCGGTGGACGGTACGGCGACTGGGCGGCGGAATGGGTGGGTAAGTCGACCCATGGGAGCTCTTAGGGTCTTCGTTGGATGAGGGGATCAGAAAGCCTGAGAGGGATGGCATGACTGCGATGACGGTGGACGGATGGAACGACGCCTCACATGTGTGTGTCTGGCCGTGTTGGGTCCCTCGCATTGAGCCAACGCGCCGGCGTTGCTTTTGCGGCCAGCCACTCGGCATTGCTGCTGAGTGATGCAGACGGCAGTTAATGAGGGTATCGCGAGGGTGAAGCATTAGGTCTCTGGCTACGGGCTCACTACTCAGGCCTCAAGATGCTTTGGTGTTGTGGCATGCAGTCAGGAATGTTCATAGTTGTTGCCCTGGGCATTGGACCTTGTTTGAAGACAATACATGGACTGAAGCGGAATGAGAAGTCTTCCTTGAGTATCTAACATCGTGAGAGACAAGGTCCGAATCCGGCGTCGAGGCATCGCTTCCCACCCAGGGACAGGTCGAACAAGAGCTGGATTGGCGTAGCGGATTCAGTAAGGCGCGAAAAAAAATATGTTCGAAAGGCGCACATTCTCTTCGTAGCGTCGCAGCGTCGCGCCATGCTATCGGACGGCTCACGTTTGATGTGGGGGAATAAGCATGCAAGACAACCTTAGCTGCGTCTGTTCAGTGGGCACAGGAGCGGGATCCACGACCCGACGGTGGCCGAAGGAGGCAGGTCGTCGGATTTCCGTCTGCTTGGAGCTGGGTCTAAGCGGATCGCGGGTGTGGTGATTCTGGCGATGAGGGGCAACCCATGTGGTGGTGGCCAAGGATCGTCGTCGAGATGTTGCGACTCGAGACTTCACCATGATGTTGAGAGGCACTTACGGAACACAAGCATGGGGTTGCAAAGCCCAAGTCATTATCTGTGTGCCTGTCGCTGATATGTCTTCACCGAGTTTGACACGATCGGGCAATACAGCGTCACGAGCGTGAGGAGAGAATGTGCGTCCACATGTCTCTCAAGGTGACGGATTCAGCTTCAAGCTAGCACCACCAGCTTGAGCTTCACCGCTGCTAGTATGGCATATCTGGGATGACACATGTTGGTTCCTGAACGGCGTCTTGGCTGGACTCTGGTAGCGCCCACAGATACGGGTTGTGCTTGCATTTGAATTCTCGCCAACGGGAATAGACCGAAGTCACGATGTTGTTAATAATCACCAAAAAGAAAGGCCGCAATGCAAGCAACAAATCCTCCGCTCCCATAGAGTCCCCATTTCCATAAGGCGAGTCCACTCTCCGGCCCTCTCCTCGGCGCATCTGTCGGGGCCTCGTTCTCTACGGAGTACAGATCGATCATCACATATAGTTACACTTACCACACGGCATATCGGCTCTGTTAACCATGAATGAGTCTTGGCAAAAGTACGAGAAGAGCCAAGGCCTTGGTAGTGTCTGAACTCGTCCCTTTGCTTTGCCCTGACGCCCATTGACCAACCACCTCTCTGTGTGAGCTCACGCTTCGCAATCGCAACCATCCACCATCCTGCCATCCCACCACTTCGGACAAATATTTCTTACACTCCATCTTCTGAGTCTTGACACAAGCAAATCAAAGCCAAGAGCGTTGAAGCGTCTGAGCTAGACCACTCCCGTGTTACACCATGCACTGCAATCATGGTCGACTTTCGAAGACGCTGAGAATGTGCCCAGCCGATATTCTCATTTGATTTCTCTTGTCCAGTTAGACAACCTATGGTCGCGGACATGAAGTTTTTGCACCTCATAGCCCGCAAGCCGCGATCATGCCTCGTCACTCTGTAAAAAGTGGAATACGAGGCTGAGTCCATATCTCGCATCCCGAGGATGGCGATAGAGGCTATTTTACGGCAACGGCACAGATAAATCAGCACCACCGCCCTCCTGTCACGCAAAGAAACTGCTTGGCGGCCATCAGACTTTGCTGCTGAGCGGTGGCTGCATGGCAGGGCTTGCAAAGTTGCTTCCAACCCCGCACTAATCACTCTCTGATGGTGCCGGTAATAGGCTCATCGCCCATCCCATGGCCCGTATCGAGGCTGTTCCCTGTCTTCTCCGAGTCGTATCGCCCCCCCTCTTCTCGACGAGAATCCCAAGCCCACCTTGCCTTGGCTCTAGCAGCTGTCGCTTCAGAAAGTTCAGCCCAGCCATCAAACCCCCTCCTCCCTCTGAACTTCCCTCTGAACGCGAAACGGAAGAGACACCGGCCCTACCTACACTACTGTGCAGTACAGGCGTTGCAAGTGGTGTTCGTCTGCTTTACCTGAGCTAAAACAGAGCTGTCTCCAGTTTCG